ATGACAGTGAGGCCGATGGGATCCCCAAATGAGGCAGAACAGGTGTTGGCACCTAACTGTCCGGAGCAAGGTGGGTTCGGGTGTCATGAGGAGCAGCGACGTCAGTGAGGGAGCTGGGACGTCCCGACCAACGGGGAGCAGAGGAGACAGACGCCAGGACTCGGCGTCCAGGAGGAAAGACAGGCATCGGTCACTCCACGCACTCTGTACCTTCGTGAGACGTGAAGGGTGTGGGCCCTGGGGACAGCCCCGCCCCCGACGTCACGGCGCATCGCGAAGGCCAGGGTCCAGGCGGCAGGGCCTTGCCGCACCGTGGCCCGAGCCGGCGCCTCTGCACAGCTGGGCCGCAGCTCAGCCCCGCCCGGCTCTGCGGCCTGGCGCCCCAGGTGTGCCGCAGGTAAAGCTGAGCCTCAGCGTTTGTTGCCCAGGAAACCTGACCTGAGATACTCGAATAGGGAAAGGCTGTTGAATTTTGCATGTTTGCCTCGTATCCAGCCGTCTCACAAACTTGTCTTGTAAAGTCTGACACTTTTTGTAGGGTATCTCACGTTTTCTAGGTCTAGAATCCTATTATCCTCCAATAAAGATCATTTTGCCTCTTTGTTGTTGTTGCCACACGTTTATTGCGTACGTAGTTTTCTTGTCTTGGTGATCAAGTAGAATTGCCAAACAGATGGCATTCCCGCGTTCCTGATTCGAGTAGGTGCAGATTTATGATGCCGTTTTAAGGCGATCTTTATCATGTTTAGGTATTTTTCATCGTATTTTTACAGAGTTTTGAAAAAACCAGGAATGAATATTCACTTGTGTGAAGTGTCTTTCAGATCCCTCGACTCAGAGTGTGGGTTTGTGTCCTTCATTTGTTGGTGGAGGGTGTCGTGGATAATTTCCTAAAGCTGAGCTGCTCTTGCGTTTGTGGAACAAATTTTACTTATTCATATTTCCTTATTTTCTTAATACACTGAATTGTATTCAATTTGCCAAGATTTTATTTGAAACATTTTCATGATAGTATTTATATATGAAGTCTCCTATTATTTTACTTTCTTTCCTACAAAACCCTAATAAAGTTTTTTTTTTTTTTTTTTTTTGAGACAGAGTCTCACTTTGTTGCCCAGGCTAGAGTGAGTGCCGTGGCGTCAGCCTGGCTCACAGCAACCTCAGTCTCCGGGGCTCAGCGATCCTACTGCCTCAGCCTCCCGAGTAGCTGGGACTACAGGCATGCACCACCATGCCCGGCTAATTTTTTGTATATATATTTTTAGTTAGTCAATTAATTTATTTCTATTTTTGGTAGAGACGGGGTCTCGCTCAGGCTGGTTTCGAACTCCTGACCTTGAGCAATCCGCCCGCCTCGGCCTCCCCAGAGTGCTAGGATTACAGGCGTGAGCCACCGCGCCCGGCCCTAATAAAGTTTTGATAATAATGCCATGTTGGCTTTTAAGAATGGATTTCAGAGTTTTCCATGTTTTTTATAGATTGGAATTATGTCAGTAAGGGGATGAAATTTTTGCACTGACTTGGCTGGGCGAGGGATGTTTGCAGGATGTTTCCGTGGGGATATTTTTTGACAAGGTTAAAATTTGGATGAGGGGACTGTGAGCAGAGCAGACAATCTTCCACGGTGTGGACAGACGTCTGGTCTGTTTTCTGTCGCTATAACTGAACACCCGAGGTGGATAATCTACACGGGAAAGGAGTTTATTTCTTACAGTCTGGATGCTGACAAGTCCAAGGTCAAGGGGCAAGGATGCCCCTCACCTGGCGGGGGCAGGGGACTCCCTGCAGAGACCCGAAGTGGCGCAGGGCCTCACGTGGTGAGGGGCTGAGGGGGCCGAGGTGCAAGCTCAGGTCTCTCTTCCTATAAAGCCACCTGTCCCACTCCCGGGGTAACCCAGTAACCCCTCAATCCATGAATAGATGAATCCATTCACGAGGGCAGAGCCCTCATGACATAATCACCTCCTAACTACTGCCACACGGAAGACTGGGTTTCAACGTGAGTTTTGGAGGGGGCAAACATTCAAGCCAGAGCAGCGGGCCTCTTCCAACCAGTTGAAGGCCTTAACGGAACACGTGACCGACCTCCCTGAGAAGGGGAATTCTGCCGGCCTTCCGCCTTCCCTGGGTCTCCAGCCTGCCAGCCCACACGGCAGATTCTGGACTTGCAATTCCTTAAAACGAGCTCCCCTGCGGCCCTCCCCCTCCGCCTGCCTCTGTCTCCCTCCTGTTGCTTCTGTTTCTCCCGAGAACCAATAGCAATACCCGTAACAAGGGAATTCTTTGATTTTTGAAGGCTAAATAGAACTTGTCTACTTAAAAATAGATGCTGGGGTCATATGCCTTTTAAAATATAAAGATATTTAGTAATCTTTCCAACCCAATCTATAGTTTCCAAATGTGTCACATCCCTCCCAATTGTCATGGTATCCTTTGCTTTGGCCAATGCATCAGCGTGTTGCACCCCCAGATGTGCTCAAATTAGTCGCTCCCCTGGATAATGAGCGGATGGGACTCCCACTCTTGCCCTGGTTGGCAGGGAGGCTGTAAATCCCGGCGGGCTTTCTCCGCCTGAGCGGGCTCTCAGAAGTAGCAGAAACCCTGAGTGAATGCTGCAAGAGAAGGCGGCCGCCGCAGACCTCACGCTGGTCCGCAGTGCCTGGCTTTCCAGCGACGGCAGGAAGAATGTGCCTCGACACAAGACAGATTACAGTGGCCACGAGCGAAAGACGATACACTCAGCCTTGTGATTAGAGTGAATCCAGGTTCACATCAGTGACCTTTTCCCAGGTGAGACTGACAGCATTTTAAATTAACTGACACCTCTGTTTTGGAGAGGGGGTCTGCCACCCAGATAAGAGGGTGCGTTTGCACAGCATTTTTAGAGAGCCGTTTGGCAATTTCTGTCAACGGGTTAAATGTGCATACCCTGTGACCCAGAGATTCCTTTTCTAAGAATTTCTCTTGTAAGAAATACCTGCAGAAGTGCACGGACACGTATGTACAGAGGTGTCCACGCAGCAGTATTTGAAATAACAAAAATTAGAGACAGTGACCACCCACCTGAAGAGGAGTAGTTACGCAAATCACGGAATTCCCGTTACTACGGATGTTTCGCAGTTGTTAAAAAGAATGAAACATTTCAGTGTGTGCAGGCAGGGAATAATGTCCTTGACCGTGGTGAATGAAAGAATCGGCCTGCAGAGCACTGTGTACAGTGTGAAGCACTTCTGCAAACCGTGTGTGTTTCTGTGCTTAGCACAATGTCTAGAAAACAGATGCCAGACTGTCCGAAGTGTCACCCCCGGTAGTGTGAGAGGGTGGGGAGGGGGATAAGGAGGAGCTTTTATATTTTTATTTTATGTATATCTATATCACTTGACTTAAAAATGAGCATATATATATATTTACATTTCAGTGTTTTTCTTTAAAAGGAGTGAGTTGTGTACAGGGGGGTTAAATGCTTTACAGACAAGAAAGAAAAACTGCGCTAGAACCAACTTACTCATCATCTTCATCTTCATCTTCCTCCTCTTCCTTCTTTTTCTTGCTTTTTTCAGTCTTGACGACTCCCTTTTTTGCTGCACCAGGCTTTCCTTTAGCTCGGTATGCAGCAGCAATATCCTTTTCGTACTTTCCCTTCAGCTTTGCAGCCTTGTTTTCATAAGGCCGCTTGTCATCTGCAGCAGTCTCATTCCACATCTCTCCCAGTTTCCTTGCAACGTCACCAATGGAAAGGCCAGGATGTTCCCCTTTGATTTTAGGGCGATACTCAGAACAGAACAAGAAAAAGGCCGAAGGAGGCCTCTTGGGTGCATTGGGATCCTTGAACTTCTTTTTTGTTTCCCCTTTAGGAGGGATATAAGTTTTCATTTCTCTTTAATAACGGGCCTTGTCCGCCTTTGCCATATCTTCAAACTTTCCTTCCTCTTTAGCAGACATGGTCTTCCACCTCTCTGAGCACTTCTTAGAAAACCCTGAGAAGCTGACTGAAGCATCAGGGTGCTTCTTCTTGTGCTCCTCCCGGCAGGTTTGCACAAAGAATGCGTATGACGACATTTTGCCTCTCGGCTTCTTAGGATCTCCTTTGCCCATGTTTAGTTATTTTTCCTCAGCGAGGCAGAGTTGCCCAGTGCCCGTCCGGCTCTCACTTGCCCCAGCGCTGTCTCTACGGAGCTCAATGTACTGCCAAAAATGAGCATATATTACTTTGGCAATAAAACAAAAAGATTTTTTTAGTGCTTGCAACAAAAAATGCTGATGTAATTTTAAACCAGAAGGAGCAATAACAGAGCTTCCTCACTCTGGGAATTGAACTAAAGGTGACTTAGTCTTGAAGTAAACTGGAAAAGGCATTAATTCTATTAATTAATGCACCAGCAAATTCCATCTCAGCAAAGACGTCTTAATGAGGTGCTCGGGGCATCCATTATTTATCTTGCAAGCCCAGCTCCAGGGCCCTGCTCCTGTCAGGCGGTGTAACACACGTCCCCGCTGAGGGCTTGGTGCCGGAGCAGCTTCCTGCCAGCCCTCTCCCAACGCCCCCTTCTCTGGGGATGACCTCTGGCCCAGCCCTTGACCCAGACTCCTCCGGATTCCTCCTCCGTCTGTCCCTCCCCGGTAGTTTGCACCCCTGGACCGCCCACAAAGGAACCACTACAGACTGGTTTGCAAACCTCACTTCCACCCTCGCCATGGGCATCTCGGGCACGTTCCCCTTGACCAGCCACCAACGCTGATGGGGACCTGGGGACACAGAGCGGGCCTGTGCCAGGCCCATATGGGCAGCTCCTGGAAACTTTAACTCCCGAGTGGGGAGCTGAGCTGCTCAGCAGTGTTCCCGCTCCCGCCCGGGTTTCTGTCCGCACCTCCGCCGGCGCCCTTATCCCGCGTGGCCCGTCTGCGCGCGCCAGGGCTGTCCGTGGTGCTGACCGCGCTCGGCCTGCGCACGCGTCAGGGGGCCGCGGGACTGCCGGCGCCGCCACTGCGCAGCCTCCCGCTCCCGGCCTCGCTGCGCAGCAGCCGGCGATCTCGGGCCGGCCCGCTCCCCGAGCCGAGCGCTCCCCGGCCCGCTCTGCGCTCCCTGGCTCGGTTCCCCGCGCCCTGCTCCCTGCGCCCCGCTCCCCGCGCCCCGCGCCGCCGGCGCGCCATGGCGCCCAGCAGCCTTCTCTGCGCGCAGTGCGCCTGCTACGTCCTGGCCTTCCTGTTCAGCTTCGCGGTGGTGGTGCCCCTGTCCGAGAACGGCCGCGACTTCCGCGGGCGCTGCCTGCTGTTCACCGAGGGCATGTGGCTGAGCGCCAACCTGACCGTGCACGAGCGCGAGCGCTTCACGGTGCAGGAGTGGGGCCCCCCGGCCGCCTGCCGCTTCGGCCTGCTGGCCGGCCTGCTCTCGCTGCTGCTGGCCGCCGCCCACGCCTGGCGCGCGCTCTTCTTCCTCTGCAAAGGACACGAGGGGTGAGTGGCCGCGGCCGCCCTGCCCAACAACGACGTAGTCCCCGTCCCGGCGAGGAGCCCCCGAGGGCTGGGGTCCCCCTCCTCCTCCTCCCCGCCTCCTGAGGCCCATGGAGGCCCACACTCGTGTCCCTCCCTGGCAAACTGACCTTTGTCTACACGCACGCCCCGGGACCCTGACGGTCACCGTCCTGGTGCAGAGCCAGGGCCTCCCGCTTCCGGGATCTCGCTCCTTTTGGGGTGCAGATGTTGCACTGTCATCCCCAGCAGGCCTGGGGCCTCCTTTGCAGCTCAGCCAGGCCCCCTCTGGCCAGCACTGGGGACAGCTCCCTGCCTGGTGGGGGTCTGCTCTGCTGTCCTGCCCCAGCGACGGGCCTACTGGGGAGCCCCATCCCTGTCACCCTGGGAAGGGGGGCAGCAGAGGAATGTGGAGGGAACCCCATTAAGGCCCACCTCCGTTGCTTAGATCTTGGCTGGGCAGATGCCAGAGGGCAGGCAGGGGTGAGGGCCCTGCTTTGGGGTTACATGCCTCCTTCCTCTCGGCCTCCATCTCCCCTTCACGTTTCCCTGCTCGGCCACTATCCTGCAGCCACGGGCTGTGGTTCCCCTGGGCTGGCCGGCGGGGAGTATCCTCAGCCAGGGGCCCTCTGTGGGCCCACCCACTCCCCCGGCTGAGGCCTGCTGTGCCCAAAGCAGCCCCAGACTCCTGCAGAGGTCCTGGGAGGGCACCTGTGAGATCCAGGCCCTCCCTCCACTCTGCCCCGCCCCATCCCCACCATCCTTTGTTGGCACTTTTTGGGCTTTTCACTCCTTGCAGGGCGCGGAAGGTGAGACAGGGCCATGGGCAGTGAGGGTGGGCAGGCAGGCATTCCGCTAGCCCACCCTGCGAGCCCTCAGCCTGGCTTTGGCAGAAAGAGAGGCCCAGGAGAGGAGGAGGAGGGGTGGGGGGCGAGGGGGCTATGCCTGGGTGGGGCTGGGAAACCTGGAGTGGTGGAAATCCCAGCCAGCGAGTGTGGGGGTGCCCTGGCTGCTGCAGCAAAGTCCTGTAGGCTGGGGCTCAATTTGCCATCCACAGAAGCCCAGAGTCATGTGTTGGGGGGTTGGTTTCTTCTGGGGGCCCTGAGGGAAAATCCCTTGGCTTGGGGTTTGCCACTCCAACCTCTGCCTGTTTTCATGGGGCCTCTTCTCTCTGTTTCTCTGTATGTCTCCTCTTCTTACAAGGACACCAGTCTTTGGATTTGGGGCCCACATAAAGCCAGGGTGGTCTCATCCTGAGAGACTTATCTTAACTACACCTGCAAAGACCCTATTTCCAAATAAAATTGCCATCAATCACGGGTCCAGGTGTTAGGATGTGGGCATATTTTGTGGGGGTGCCATTCGACCTGCCACCCGAGGTTCTGGTTCTGGGTGAGCTGGAAGCCAGGTGTCAGCCTGGGGCACCTCCGGGTGCTGTGGGGCTGCTGGCCCAAACTCTGGGATGAGGGGCTCGGCTCTGCCAGGGTGCGCCCAGGCCAGTCTGGGTGGTGTCCCGAGATGTTGGAGACGTCATCTGTACCCGCGCTGGCAAACTTGTGAGCCGCCCGGGCAGCACTCTGTGTGCAGGTCAGGGCAGGTGGCAGCACCTCTGAATAGGGGCTGGGGTCTGAAGAAGTGGGGGGACAGCCAGCAGGGTGGGGTAAGGCCTATGGGGCTTGGGATGCCTTCAGTAGGAAGGCTGCGTGGGGCCACGGTCTGGCCACTGCTCACGCACGTGCCAGCCTCTGGACTCGCTCGGGCGTTCGTGGTCTAGCTGGGGTGACAGAGCTGCTCTGTAGACAGGACCCCGCTTATGTGGTCGGAGCGAGGGGAGATTTCACAGAGGGGAGAGACCGAGAGGGGCTTGGGGGCAGGGCGAGGGGAGCCCCAGAGCTTGTGGGACAGGAATCTGGGTGGCACAGCCAGGCAGCAGAGCTGGGGAGCGCAGAGATGGGGGCTCTTCCTTTTGTCATCTTACGGAGGTGCCTGTCTGTCCTCTGAAGCTGCCCGCGCCATCTCATTCTGATGGCAGGAGACCGAGGCCCGGGCCTCCCCAGCAGCGGCACAGGCTGGAGCCAGGTGGCCTACAGCCCCGCTGCACCCTGGCCGACCAGCCCACGTGGGACTTAGGACGCCTTAGGTGACTTGGCATGTGTCTGGCCTGTGGGGTTGGGGAGCGGTTAGGGTCAGGGCTGCGGGGCGGGCACGCGTGGAGGGCCTCGGTGGCCCTGGCTGCACCCGAGGCTGGACCGGGCAGCTCGTGCTCTCGGGGCTGTGGGCCTGGCAAGTGGGGCTTCGAGGGTCTTCTGTCCTTTTGCTCCCGTTCCCGGGCTCGGCTGTCCTAGCAGCAGTGACCTCCGTCCAGCCTTTCCTTCCTCAAGGGGCACAGTGTCCTGGGCCCTCGGGGGTTACCGGTGAGGGCCACGTAGTGGTGGGGCCACCCCCCTGCCTACCGCACAGAGTGGCTGCTGTGACGTTGTCCCCCAGTGTGTCACTGCTCCATCGAGTCCTGGCTGTAGGACCAGGCTAAGGTCTCTCAGGCCGCGTCAGGCGTGGATACCCACCCGGGCGGGACTTGGCTGGGTGCCAAAGGCAACGCGCCTTGTTCACCTCTGTGTCCCCGGGGCCAGCTCAGGGCACGGTGCCCAGAAGTTGGCAAGTCTCGTGTTGAGTGAGTGACAGAAAGATGCCTGGACCCGAGGCCTGTGGCTTCATGGTCACCCACCTGGCCCTGACATCCTTGCAGACCTCTGGCAAAGAGGTCAGACTCGCCCTGTCGGAAAGTTCTGGACCTCTGGGGAGGCTGGGTCTGCAGAGTCCCACGATAGTTGCCCAGAGCCACCAGCCCAGCTCAACTGCTGGAGCAATCGAGGGGACAGCCAGGGGGCCAGGTGGGCACTTGCGGGGAGCTCCTGGGGTGGGCACGGCACCCAGGGCCACCACGGCCACTGGACGTCCTGCCCACGGAGGACACCACTGCCCCTTGGGAGGCTCAGCACACACTCTGCTCTCTCTCGACTGGGGTCCACCTTCAGCCGCACGGAGACGCCCTCTCTCTAGTGAGGGGCCCACAGCTGCCTCGCGCTTGGGGGTCACAGGTTGTGTCCAAGGTGCCAGCTCCCTGCTCATACAGGGCGTGCCTGCCATGCAAAGTGGGGACCCTGACTGTTTGTGCCCAGGAGAGTGAGGGGTTTGAATCTGGGGCTGTGGCTTTTTGCAGAGGGGCGTCACCTGGATGCTATTAGCTGCTGAACGAATGAATGGGTGAATCAGTGGCCCCTGTGCTTGGGGCTTTGCCATGGCAGGGCAGCTGGGTGGTGGGGTTGAGCCGTGGTCTGGGGCTGGGGCCGCTTTGCCCGAGCCCCTTGAGCACGTGGGCTGGGGCCCGGGTCAGAGCATCCCATCTGCCGCCCACTGGCGCTGGGCCTGCTGTCGCCATGGAGACCACACGTCCAGGCAGGGCAGCCTGAGAGGCAGAGGAGAAAGTGGTTAACCCTGTGTGTGCCGGGCTCTGGATAAGGACAGCCCGGGCAGGTTCCGGGGACACGGACAGGAAGTGGACGAAGGAGTAGACCGAGACTGTCAGCTCGGGTGGCCCCAGCTTGGAGTCCCTTCCCTGCTTCACGGGGATCTCTATGTTCTGGTCACGGGAGGAGACTCCAGAATCGTGCCCATTTCACGGGCTGCAGCTGGACTCTGCGGTGCCGAGCTGGGCGGGTTTCTGTGGAGCTGGCTGGCAGACCACCCCCGGAGGCGGGAGGGCGTGGGCAGCCCCCCCCATGGACGTGCCACGGGCCCAGAGCCCCCGCTGTGTCCGGGCCACGCTGTGCCAGGTATTTGCGGGCACGGGGCTGTCAGGGAGACCCTGCCCTGGGCGAGCTCCGGCCGTGTCCGTCTAGAATTCAGTATGGACGGGGAGGGTGCTGCCCCAGCCCCACTGGGGGGGAATGGATGTGGTACAGGGTCGTCAGCCCTCGTCTGACCTTGTCTGACCTCTGCGCTGTGGCCAGCCTAGAGGCCCGCCGCGGGTGGCCGCTGGGCTGACCTGTCAGGGCAGTCCAGGAATGCCGGGCGCTGGAGGTGTCACTGCTGGACAGGGTCCTTGGGAGGCCTGTGGGGGCGGTTCAGCAGGTGGAGGGGACGTGGCGTGGGGGGACTAGGGAGTCCCAGGTGCACTGATACCCATCGAGCTGGAGGTTCCTGCCAAGCTCAGGGCTGCTTCTGTGCTCCCGTCCCTGGGCGCCCGTCCAGGCTGCCCCTGACCACCACAGTCCCTCTGGTCAGAGCAGAGCGGCCAGTCCAAGGCCACGGAAGCAGGTGGCCTGTGATGTGCCCCTCTCTGTAACTGTGGTCCCGCTCCTCTTCAGACACACAGGGCCAGATGGATTTTGGGGTTCAGAGTCCTGTCCCCAGGGCCCTCAGGAAGCAAGGGGCTTACCCAAGTGAGGACGGTTTGAGGGGGATGGTTGACAACGGGTTCCTGGGCCCAGGGACAGTGGCCCTTCACCCCCACCCCAGTAACGGGACCTGGCGGGAGGGTATGTGGAGGGGCCGGGGGAGGGGCAGTGCCTTTGGTGAGGACCTGGGGGCACAGCCCACCTCGTCCTCACGCCAGCCTGCTGCGATCCCTGCCGTCACATCCTGCCGTGGTCCACGCCCGCCAGCCCCGGGCAGGGGCTGGAGACGGGGACAGGCTCTGAAGAGCAGGGGAGATGCCGGCACACGGTGACCCGGGTCTGGGCAGCGAGTGCGAGGCCACCCCACGAGCGATGAAGCCGGTGTCCCCCAGGGTGGCTCCCACAGCTCACAGGGAGCGTTTGCTGCTGGGCCTGTGGTCGTCAGGGAACCCTGGTCGTGGGGCTGGGCTACAGCTTGCCTGTGCCACGGGGCTCCCGCTCCCGCGCCTCTGCGCATGGCTGCCCCCCTGCGCGTGGCTCCCCTCCCTGCGCGTGGCTCCCCACCCCCGCGTGTGGCTCCCCCCTCCTCACGTGGTTCCTCCCTCCGCGCGTGGCTCCCCTCCCCCCTCCTCGAGTGGCTCCTCCCTCCTCGTGGCTCCCCCCTCCGCGTGTGGCTCCCCCCCTGCTCGTGGCTCCCCCCATGTGCATGGCTCCCCCCTCTGCATGTGGCTCCCACCATCTGCATGTGGCCCCCCCATGTGTGGCTCCCCCCCTGCACGGCTCTCCCTCTCTGTGCGTGGCTCCCCCTCTGCTCGTGGCTTCCTCCTCTGCACGTGGCTCCCCCCCTCTGTGCTTGGCTCCACCCCTCCCACGCGTGGCTCCCCTCCTCTGCACGGTGCTCCCCCCTCCCCCCCCGTGCGTGGCTCCCCTCCTTGCGTGGCTCCCCCCTCTGCACGTGGCTTCAGTGCAAAGGCTCAGGCCCCTGTGCCCACGTGTGAGTCCTGCTGGCCTGCCCTTTTTGGGGTAATTGCTGGGGTCACAGCTTGTGGGGCTGAGTGTCCCTGTGTCCTCTCCCCTGTCTGGGGCTCCTCAGGTGGGGGTTCAAGCCCCCCATCCTCGGGGTGCTCCGCCATCTGCTCTGTGGCCTGGCCAGGTTGTGCGGGGCAGGAGCCGGTGGAGGAGGAGGAGGAGGACAGCTGCGGGGTCCTTGCCCGGGACACCGCGGGTCCCGCCGGTTGTGAGTTAGACACAGGAGATCCTGCCGGGGCGCCTGCTCTGGGTGGGGTGCCGGACGCCCCGGTTTCTGGTCTGCACACTGGCTGGGCGCTTCCTGTGGCCTTGTTACCTCTGTGTCCTCTGTGCCCAGCATGGGCCCGGTGGGTGCTCAGAGAGTGCTTGCCGAATGCTCCGAGGAAAGGCCGGCCAGCGCACTGGTCTTCGGCCAGGAGCCCCTGCGTCGGACGACAGTGACTTTGATGTTTTCTTGGCCGAGGTTGCGGTGGAGACCTTGTTTATTAGATGGTCTTTGAAGCAGTTTTTGTGGGTCATTTCCCTGATCCGATGACTGATGTCAGGTCGGGTGGGCATGGCCCTTTCTTGACTGCCCGTGCCACTGTCCTGCTCTGAGGGAGTTCCCCTTGGGGTCCCACTGGAGGGAGGGCGTGCGCCCACCCTGCCTCCCCAGGTGCCTGGGCGTGCACCCCGGGCTGGGCCAACTGGGAGACTTTGAATCTTGGTGTCTGCGGGCAAGGCAGGAGCGTCCAGACGGAGGGGGTGTCCCCACCACGTGCCCCGTGTCCCCACCACGTGCCCCGTGTCCTCAGAAGGAAGCCTTGGCACCCCCGAAAGCACACTGGCGGGCCGTGGCTGCGTGGGCCGTGGCTGCATGGGCCGTGTCTGCGTGGGCCGTGGGGAGCGTAGCCAGCCCTAAGCCAGCTCCCCCGGCGAGGCCCTGCCCGGGCTTGGCCTTTTGTGTGTAAAAGGGAAAATCAGCGAGTCCCTGACGCAGGTCAGGCCAGCCTGTGTCGGTGACGACGTGGCCTGCTGGGTGTCTCCGTCCCTGCGGCTGCCGTCACAGTCGGGGGACACAGCACTCAGCCCGTAGGGACTGAAAGCGCGTCCCGGTGTGGGCGTGGCTGCCGGCCCGGGTGTTTCTGAGCGGGGGATCCCGGTCCCCACCTGGGCACGGCCTCGCTGCGAAACGGGGTCACAGCGGGTCCAGCTCCTGGGCCTCCGGGAGGACGCGCGGGCAGCCGGGGCCTCCACGAGGAGCCTCCCGTGGGTGGGGACGGCTGCAGGGAGGTGGAGACAGCCCTCGCGGTGCGGGGCCCGCCAGGAACCCAGACGCCCGCTGGGAAGCCTGCGGCTGGGCACTGCTGGTGGGGCTGGGTCGGCCCGGGCTCCCAGCGAGCGCCCCTCTCGCCCTCTCGCCCTCTCCCCGGCTGCAGCTCCTTCTTCCACGCCTTCCTGAGCCTGCTGGTCAGCGCCTGCGTGGTCTTCCTCGTCTTCATCGCCGGCACCATCGTGAGCGTGGGCTTCACCATGTGGTGTGACACCGTCACCGAGAAGGGCACCGTGCCCCACAGGTGCGCCGCCCGCCCGCCCCGCTGCCTCCCGGGAAGCCCCCCTGCGCCCGCTGCCCGCCCCCCCCCACTGCCTCCCGGGAAGCCCCCCTGCGCCCGCCGCCCGCACGCCCCCCCCCCACTGCCTCCCGGGAAGCTCCCTGCGCCCGCCGCCTGCACGCACGGGAGTCAGCAGCTGCAGGGCCCCTGTGTCCCCCCCGTGTGCGCCCAGGCGGCTCCTTCCCCACAGCCTGCCCCTGCACCTCAGACCCCCCTCCCACTCCTGGGAGCCCCCACGAGCCCCGGGGTGGGGCAGGGTCCCATGCAGTGGAGGCTCTGGGACCCCGGGGCGGGACAGGAGGCCGACCAGGGGTGCCATCAGGGCAGAGGCTTTGGTCCGGGGCGCCAGGGTCTGGGAGGCAGGGGTGTTGATGAGGACTGTGCAGATGCAGAATCTTCCAGTAGGTGGGGACGGCTCCCTAGTGGGTTGGGGACAGAGGCCTTCAGAGTCAGGTGGCTGCTCTGGGCTTGCTCTGTGCAAGGACAGCGTCTGGCTTGGTGGGGCCCAGAGTGGAGCTTGGTGACTGTCCGTGCCCTGAGTGGGGTGCCCCAGACCAAGACCCTGGAAGGCAGGGACTTTGGGGCCCCAGGGGCTCCAGATTCTTCCTTTGAGCAACATCGGACCTGGAACTCCCACGTATAAAATCAACAGTGGCAGAGGTGAGGCGGCACCTTCTCACTGCGCCCAGGGCTGCCGGCTGCAGCCTGGGGCACAGACAGAGGAAGGCTTGAGCACCAGGGTGGCTGTCCCTGCAGGGCCTGCCCTGGGCAGCCCCTCCGAGGGGGCAGCCCCCACACTGTGCTGCGCTCTGTGTCCCGTCCTCCTGCCCTGGCCGCCTGCTTCCTCTGCACCTCCCCCCCAGACACTGGAAGTTTCTTACCCTCAGGAGCACCATTTCCAGCCTCCACCCCCTGGCAGCCCCTCCAGGGAGCGCCTGGGCTGCTGGGCCCCTTCCTGGGCATCCTGCCCAGACCCCCACCCATGGAGGTGGAGGGAGAGTGGGGCCCTGGTCCTGCTGCGGCTGCCCCCGGCTGCCCCCCAGCATGAGCAGGGCCGCTGTGAGCGTTGGTGGGGACACTGACACGCACGGCAGCCCTGCACGCCCTGAGTCTGAGACCCTGGGACCCGGCAGAGCTGTGGGACAGGGTGGCTTAGAGCGTCCAGGAGAACAGAGGCTCCCGCCTGCCCTTCACCGTGTGGGGCGATGCTCGCTGCACCCTAGCCGCTGCTTGGCTGTGTCCCGAGCTCGCTGGCCTGGCCGCCCCTCCACCCCGTGTCTTGCCGTTCTAGCTGCGAAGAGCTCCAGGACATCGACTTGGAGCTGAGTGTGGACAACTCTGCCTTCTACGATCAATTTGCGATTGCCCAGGTAGGGAGGGGGCTGCTGTGCCTGGGAGGGGCCCTCACTGCTGGACATGCTCTGAGCCCACCCCCCAACATAGGGCAGGGGACCAGCTCCTGCGTAGTTGAGGCAGGGGAGTCCTGGGCAGGGGCCCGCAGGAGGGGCGGGAGGGCCGGGTCTTCCCCAGTGGGTGGGGAGGGGCACGTCAGGCAGAACCGCGGTGGGAAGGCCGTGGGGAGTTAGAGTTGGGGTGGCAGGTGCCAGCTGCCTGCGTGGGGCCCGGGAGGTGGTGCTGGACATGGAACTGGTGTCCGGTCCTGGGGTCTCCAGCGCTGGGACAGGAGTTGGACCCTGGTCCCGGCACCAGGCAGGCCCCGTTCAGATGAATGCTGGAGGCTCAGACATCCCCTAGCCAGGGGGGTGAGGATGAGGGGGTCCGCCCGCACCCTGCCATGTCCAAGCTGCGTCTCCTGCCTCTGGGAGCCTGGGCTGTCAGTGGGGGCCCAGGATGGGACCCTGGAACTGGGCCTGGCCTCAAAACCCTGCACCTGTGCCCCAGGCAGGGAGGACACTGATTAGGGTGCGGGGTGGGAGGTGGCCCAGGCCAGGCCCAGCTCCTCTGCGCTGAGCAGGGCCCATCGGCTCCGAGGTCCCTTTCTGGGCCCCAGACCGGCCTCTGAAGGCCCCTTTCCATGGCCGGGCACCCTCTAGGGTGCTGGACACTGGGGGCCTTTGCCGAGCTGAGCTGAAAGGCGGGAAGGTGCTTCAGACCTACTCTACGTCCGCAGAGCACGGTCCGAGCCCCGTCCGCAGTCTGCAGGCGGCCCGTTCAGTGCGGGCTGCATGGGTCTGCTCGCACTGTTTCTCCTGCGTCTGTTTGAAAGCAGCGGGCGAGGGCCAGTCTGTCCCACGGCGGGAGGGGCTGGCGACAGGCGTTTGCAGACTTGGGTCCTGGAGGCTCCGGGTGCCGGGACGGGCGTTTGCTGCTCGAAGGAAGCAAGAAGCCTGGGCCCGCCCATGCCCCGGCCTCCATGTCCCTCTGTGTGTCCCGCCCTTTCCCTGCACAGCCTGGGACCGGGGGTCACGGGGGATGGGGGGCGCCCGGCGCCCCCCCTGACCCTGCCCTTCCGCTTCTGTGCAGTTCGGCCTCTGGGCTGCCTGGCTGGCGTGGCTGGCCGTCGCCACGCTGGCCTTCCTGAAGGTCTACCACAACTACCGCCAGGAGGACCTGCTGGACAGCCTGGTGCACGAGAAGGAGCTGCTGCTGGCCCGGCCGTCCCCGCGCGGGGCCTTCCAGGAGGAGAAGAGCGCCGTCATCTAGGGGCGGGGGCCAGGCCCAGGCCCCACTGCGCCCAGAGCCCTAGGCCAGTCTTGGGGAGCGGCTGGGGGCTCTGCCTGGGTCCCACCCCGCCACGTGCAGCTCTGCACGTGTTCCCTGCTGCCGCGTGTGGTGAGGCGAGCCTGACAGCTGACTGGGGGTGCCGGCTTCACGACCGGGATGGCACAGAGACCATGGACACCTCCGGGCCTGTGTAGTGCCTCACACCTGGCCCGGTGGGACCTGGCCCCCGAGCCGGGCAGAGGGCTCCTAGCTGGTCTCTCAGACCCCTCTGGCCACCCGCTTGATGGGGAACTGCCCCTCTGGGCCCTGGCCCCACGGCGGCTTGCCCAGGAGGTGGCCAGATGTCTGTCCCATTACCTGTTCCTGAACTCGTGTGTGGGACACGAATTCAACTGACACCTGTGACTTGGGCCAGAGGCCCGAGTTTGGGAAGGAGCTTGCGGCACCTCCAGCCTTGGCCGCAGGCAGCCCCCTCCCCGGGCTGAGTCCCCTCCGGGGTGGGTGCCAGCCCTGGTGGCCAGGCCTGGTCTCAGCATTGAAGATGCAGGGACATGGTGTCTGTGGCGGCAGGTGGTGGCTGTGGGCACGGAGGCTCCTTCAGTGGCCTCCTCTGTTCTCTGCCGCAGGACTGGGAGTGTGCGGCCCGGCTCCCAGAGGCTTGCCCGTGTGTGGGCCCGCCCGAGCTTGGTGGGGAGGGTGGAGGCGGGGGTGTGGGCTCCGCAGAGTGGGGACGTCATTTGTAAGGGATGAGAGGGGCACACATGCCACACATGGAGGATGGGGCCAGGTGCCATGGCAGGTATCTGTGCATGCAAGTGAGCATGGGAGGATGTGACTGGTGATGATGTTTGCATGTGGAGGTCGGTGTGCCATTCATAAGGAGTGTGCATGGTGAGGGTGCGAGTGTTGCATTGCAGTATGATGGAGTGTGATGTGAGGGTGCGTGGCATCAGGTACGAGTCGGAGTATGCATGTGGAGGGTGGAGTGTGCCATCAGTACGGCTGAGTGTGATCGTGAGGGTCGAGTGTGCATTCAGTTACGAGTGACTGTGCATGGGAGGGGTGCGAGTGTGCATTCAGTACGAGTGAGTGGCATGTGGAGGTGCGAGTGGCATTCAGTAGTGACTGAGTTGGCATTGAGGGTGCGAGTGTGCATTCATGTAAGAGTGAGTGTGCATGTGAGGTCGTGCGAGGTGCATTCAGTGAGTGGAGTGTGCATGTGAGGGTGCGAGTGTGCATTCAGTAGAGGTGAGTGTGCATGTGAGGGTGCGAGTGTGCATTCAGTACGAGTGAGTGTGCATGTGAGGGTGCGAGTGTGCATTCAGTACGAGTGAGTGTGCATGTGAGGGTGCGAGTGTGCATTCAGTACGAGTGAGTGTGCATGTGAGGGTGCGAGTGTGCATTCAGTACGCAGGTGAGTAGTCGCAGGTGTGGAGGGTTGGCGAGTTGCATTCAGTATGAGTGAGTGTGCATGTGAGGGTGCGAGTGTGCATTCAGTATGAGTGAGTGTGCATGTGAAGGTGCGAGTGTGCATTCAGTATGAGTGAGTGTGCATGTGGGCGAGTGTGCACATGTGACAGAAGGAATATGTAGGTGTCTGAGTATGCATGGGGGTGTGTATGTGCACACAAGTGCGCACCAGAGTGTATTGGTGGGTGCATGTGGATGAGCGAGTGTGCATGAGTGTGAATGTGTGTGCATGTGTGTGAGTGTGCTTGTGCATGAGAGCATGCATGTGTGTGTGAGCATGTGCATGAGTATGGATGTGTGTGTGAGCATGCATGTGTGGGAGTGTATGCATGTGCGTGCAAGCATGTGTACATGAGTGTGGATGTGCTTGTGAGCAATTATGCACATGTGTGCAAGCATGTGTGGGTGTGGATATGCTTGTGAGAGTGTGGATGCGTGTGTGAGCGTGTGCATGAGTGAGTGTGGATGTGCATGCACGTGAGCATGTGTGTCCGTGAGAGTGTGCACGTGCTAGCAAGTGTGTGTGCGTGGGAGAGTGCATGCACACGTGCACGTGGGTGGGAAGGTGTGGGGTGCAGGTGGGAGAGGGTGTGTCCAGCAGCTCCTCTGAGCCTCCTGTGGGCTCTGTTGCTCCCAGCGTCCCGGCCCCTCTGCATTTTGCAGGGCCTGCAGCACGGAGGCCCCCAGGGTGGCAGGAGGAGGAGGTGGGAGGGGACCTGGGGCCTGGCCTGGGGCTCTGAGCAACCGCAACTCCCCAGCCATGCTGCTGGCCACTCCCGGCTGCCACCACCCACCCCCGGGGATGGAGAGGCCTGCTGCCAGTGTCAGCAACTTGCCCTGCCCACCATGGCGGCTGGCTTGTGTCTCTGGGGGAGGTGTGGGGCCCCCAGAGCCGTGGGCCTGGCTGGGATCGAGGTGCCTGGCTCAGGAAGTGAGGCTGGCTGGTGGCTTACCAGCGGGGGAGGCTGGGAGCCTGTCTGGGGCTCAGGCCGGTGGGTGAGGCGCTGGCTTCTCAGCGGGCTCTGGCCCAGGGCAGGCAGCAGGGTCCTCCGGGCAGGGTGTTTTGGTGGAATGTGAGGCCCCCAAAGCCAATCTGGTCTCGCCGGCCCCTCATGCCAGCCCTTACCCACTGGACCTGGGGACTCTTTCCCACCTTGAGAGACCCTGTCTGGTTCCCCATTCCCCCATTTCAGGCCACCGCCGGCTGGGGTCCTGAGAGGGCAGGGCAGGGCAGGCCCACCTTCTGCAGCCTCAGGGCCTGCCTGGTTGGGGTCTGCCCTCGGCCACTGCCCTGCTGGACTCCCGGGGGCTGGTCCAGCCAGCCCGTGGTCAGGGGCAGCCGAGGCTGTGTGCACTGGCAGACGCACGGGCCTACCTCGGGCTGGCGCTGGGCCTGGCTCCCAGCACCGTCGCCGGAGTCCAGCCAAGGGCAGCCGGCCCTGGGGTGTTGGGCGGGAGCGGGCCTTGCCGTGGCCACGGCCGTGTCCTTCAGGGCTGTGGCCGGGGGCTTCCGTGCGGGGACGGTCCGGGCTGCCTCCCAGGCACCACCGTTCCCCTCCCGCCTTCGGTAGCGAGTGTCCTTGTCCGGATTCTGCCCGCGGCTCAGCTGAATGTGCAGACTCTGAAACCTACACACGTCTGTTTCTCAAAGGCAAAATAAAAACAGAAGCCCACGTCTCTAAGTCGGGTGCGGAGGACTGTGTCTCCTTTCCCTCGTGCACACTGCCTTCCTCTGTCCCCTCGGGGCGGGCCGGTCTCCCTGCTGCCCTGGGCCTTCCCCGGCGGGGGCAGATCTCCAAGGAGTTCTCAGGGCCCTGCTGCATCTGTGAGCAACACTCATTCGGGACCGACGGGGTCGTGGCGTCGTGGGACCCCTCGGCCCGTGTCCTTCTGTCACCTTTGCAGTGGCTGCCGGGCCTCGAGGAGGGAGCCACCTTCACCCTGCACTGAAGAGGGGGCTGGCCCCTCGGGCAGCGTGCCCTGGCCTGTGACCCAACCCCCCAGCCTCTGTTCCCCAACCTGGGACATGGGGCAGGGACCTGCCCGTCCTCGAGGGGGTGGGAGGAGTGGGGACGGCCCTGGGAAGGCTGGGCCAGGGCAGGGGTGGCAGCCGCGGGGACAGCATGCCTCAGGAGGGTCCCTGAGGGCCAGCGCCGTCCTGCGGAGCCCCCACTGTGGTCCCTCTAGGCCACTTCTGGGAAAGAGCCCCTTCCGTTGTCCCTGCCCCGGCTCCCTGAACTCGACCGCTGGAAGAGACCCCAGGCTGGGGAGCAGGGGGAGGAGGTACTCAGAAGGACCAGGGGCTGAGCTGGGACTTGTGGGGGACGTGCGGGAGCCGGGTGACTGGAGGCTCGGGGAGTCCCCTGCCTGACGCACCCACGGCCAGGAGCGGACGGGGGCGCCTACCCTGGCCACCGAGGTGACTTCCTCAGCAAACTGGCTGCCAGCCCTCTCGCGTCTACAAAAACCCCAAGACAGAGATGTCCAGGTGTGTTTAATAGCAGTGTCGCGTCAGGGCTGGCCTGCAGCCCGGCGGGTCCCTGGCGGCTGCGCCTTTGAGTCCCAGGCCGGCCCCATGGACACTCATCCGACTGTCCCCGTGTCCCCTGGGCAGTCCTTCCTGGTGTCTGACCTTGGGCCTACCTGCTTTGCTCACTCCTCCCCCACGCAGGGTTTCGGGGGCCCGGGGTCTGTCACCATAGGGCACCCTCAGCCCCGCAACTGGGCACCAGAGCCGCGTCCACGGACGGTCACGGGGACCACAGGCCCAGCTGGGGGGCCACACCCCCGGCTATCGGAGTGAGTCCCCAAGGTCTGGGGGTTCTGGGCTCTCGACCTTCCCTGTCCCCTCGGCCTCCACACTCGCCTTGAGGACTCCTCCTCCCTGGGCCTCCCCAGGCTCGTGGGGCTGAGGGGTCAGACCCAGGCTTGGGGGACGGCACCCCAAGGCCAACACCAATGGGTCCCACATGGACTGCGGGGGGGTGCCCCTCTGACAACCAGAACCTTCTCTCCCAACAGGGGGCTGAGGGGGTTTCGAGGTCTGGGCTCTAAACAGTTCCGCAGCCCTGGGGCGGGGTGTCCCCCCTGTCCTCGGGGGCTGTACGTGGTGACGTCGCGGCCAGGCCTGCTGTGGCGAGGGAGGGGTCTCTGGGTGAGCTGGGGCGGGGCCGGGGCCTGGTAGTGGCTGAGTCCTTTTCCTGTTGAGTCTCACGGTTGACCCCGAGGCAGGGAAACGGAGGGCTGTGCAGATCGGTGTGAGGGGCCGCCTGCCCCGTGGCCCACCGACCCGTGTCTGGGCTCACGCCTCAGGGGCCCCTTTCCTGTCCTCCACTGCGGCAGCCGCCTCAGTCCCCGACCCCGGGGCAGCACCGGAGCCAGGGCCCCCGAGGCCCCGCCCGCCCGGGCGCCCGCAGGTGCCACCGCCCGGCACCCGTCACAGCTGCAGGAGGCAGCGCCAGCAGGTGAGGGCCACGTGCCGCAGGTGCAGGAGGAGGACGAGGAGCCGGGCCCGGAGGTCCTCCAGGGTCATCGCCAGGGGCTTGGCCTGGCCGCAGTACAGGCCCAGAGCCGCCACCAGCAGGACGCACACGGACAGTCGCAGGAGCAGGGAGCCGCGGGGTGCGGGCCGGCCAGGTGCCGGGGCAGAGCGGGCAGCAGGGTCGGCCCCTGGGGGTGGCGGGGAGGGTGGGGGAGACCCAGCTGTCTGTCGTCGGCGGAGGGCACTGGGCTGTCTCAGGCCTGGGTGCCCCCCTGGGGAGTGTCACCCTGGGACGTGGTCCCGCCCGGTCCCTGCAGAGGCCCCCGCACCCCTGTGCACCCTGCAGCAGAGCCCCCCGCCAGGCTGCCCTGTGGCACCGCCCTCGGGGAGGGACCGGGCAGCCTGCAGGGGGGCTGGGGGGGTGTGGGGGGAGCGAGCTGGGAGAGGGGGTGCAGGCTCAGAACTTACCCCGGGTGGTGGCCCTGGCGTCCCTGCCAGCGATGTCTGGGAAGGAGAACCGGGAGTCGGCCGGGGCACGAGGCTGCAGTCTGCCACGCATCTCGCCCCGCCCTGCCCAGAGGACCCTGAGACGGGCAGGGACCCCGGCTGCGGCAGGGGTCAGGGACACCAGAAATGCCAGAGACGGCAGTGTTTGCGGGGTGCCATCTCAGGGATCCGGCTGCCTGCGTGGCCAGGTGGAGGCAGGACAGCGACCTCGGCCTCCGGGGCTGTGTGGGCCCAGGTCCCCGCCTCCCCCGCAGCCCGGCTGCTGCCGCGGCGCCCTTACAGTGCACGACCTCCTCGGGGGGCTCTCGGAACCGCACGCGCCTGGAGGTCCTCCGCGGCTGGGCCCCCGGGCTGCGTCTCAGGATGGAGGGGGGACACTTCCTATCTCCCTCCTGGG